AATTTTTGCCATCCAGTGCATCATCGAAAAAAAATTAACAGTTGTAAGTTTGGCAACATTAACCTTCAAAAAAAAAGCCAAGTTCAAAAAAAAAATTTTTTTACGATGCGCTGAATAAATTTGCTCGATGCAACAAGGGCTATAGAACAAGATTGCAAGAAAAATATAACTAGTGTCACTACTTAGGTCGAAAGGACTTTAGAATACTGAAGCTAATAAGTCTGTTCTGCAAACAGGTTAGCATCTTGAAAAAAAATTACGCTTTTCTCTTTGTCTCTGCAGCTCTCTCCAGATCTAGTGCTATGTGGCCTTTTACTTTTTGTAAATGCATCATTCTGATATTGACTTTCTCAAAATATACCAATTCAGTCAGCATAAGCTATTACTCTAGTAAAAAAAAAAACTAGTTTATACCTTTGGCCACCAGCCCAAGCCTTTTTAACTTAGTTGTTTAATACAAAATGGCAAAATGATTACATATCCATTTACTTCACATTTCTCGTCAACTTTGCACACATCAGTTTCAACCATCGCTCATCATTACCGCACAAAAAAAAAACTTTTTCACACGACATTTGAGAGATATTTGAATTCAACTAAGTTCAGCCGGAGATTTCCACTATGATGAATACTTATTCTCAAATCAATTTCTCCTCGTAAAACGAACTGTGCGATATAAAGCCTGTATGAGTCTCATCTGACGCAATTGGTGCGCTCGAGACAGTTTTAGATACGCGGAAGCGAGGCTAAGAAACAGAATGGGACGCTAAGAAGAAATTGTACAGATACTGTAGTTTTTTGGTTTCCGACTTGATTTCTCTCGAAATAGCTGTTCCATAGGAATTTCCTTTCATCTTGTTAACATATGCCCCCATATCAAGAGTGTTCATATTGTATTAGTTCAGTTTATCAGTTCATTGTACTTCATACGGTTTTTTTCCGAATTCGTGTTTTAATCCACACTCAGATGTTCAGAGCATCTGAGAAAGACAGAAACTACCATTACCAGTAGCAAACCTAATAATTCCTCACTAATCTCACTGTTGCAGCGGCTACTGGTAAAGAGTAAGTGTGCCGCAAGCTTCGCACTATACCAAGAAAGACTTCTCCGATGGGCAACTCGGAGAAGCCTTTCAGTCATTCAAAATTCCACCCCATGCCCTTGTGGACAACGTTAGGGAAGTGTTCCCTCATGAGTTGCCCACATGATAGATTCCGAAAATTTCATGTTTTTGTAGTGCTTGATTTTTTTTTCTGAATACTGTAAGAAGGAATCTTCAAAAAGTGAAAAATTTTGAACGTTCTGTCACAATAGCGATTTTGATTTGCATTATTGTTGTCTGCATTTTTATGTATATGTATTTCTTCAATATTCACGACAACCCCATCGTCATATCAAAATTTTGAACATTTCCCAATTCGACTTTTAATTGCCGCTCGTACCATATTTTATTTTTATCCCAAGCATTGCCATACCCATCCCTTCAGCTCGGATAGAGCCCACCCATCCACGCTGTACTGATATCATCATCACTTCCATACGCCTCTCCGAACAGCGGAAACTTATCCGCACACCAGTTTGATGAATATCCAACTTCCAAGCTTAATTGCTCCGCTTATTCTTCAGCTCGAGACGAGCTCTTCTTTTGACAGGGCGTGCGAAAGCCGCTCCTTTCCTACCAGTCTTTTCCCCTTGTCCACTTCTGAAGAGCAATCGAACGACTGAACCACGAAGCGATCAACAACAACAACACAATGCTGCCCTCAAGCAAAGCAGCAGCAACAGATGGCAAATGGGCAACCATGGTGACGACAACGATAACAACAGCACCTTCCTGCACTTATCGCAGCACCCACGACAAATGGTATATGGGCAGTATTGAAGACATTGATGGCAACCACAGCATAATCTCCTGCCCTCTACGACAAAAAATGATGAAAGCTCGGGACGAGCTTTACTATGGAATGGACATGTCGAGACGCAGACTAATTAGATGGTCCGACAGTAGCCACGCTAACTGGGCGGTGCCCAGCAACTCCAGATGAGCTGTGCCTAACCGGGTGACCGGCGGTTTCCCTTCCCCTCTCATTCTACTTATAAATATATAATAAAGATTCTAGTCATAATGTCATGTTCATATAAAGTAAGACAATCAGGGTGAAGGATTCAAGTCAAGAGAGTGCACCTCTTGGACTTGACAAATTACAATTTATTAAATCAGTTGCAGACATACTTTCTGGGCCATTACAACATATTTTCAATTTGAGTATGATGCGAGCTGAAATTCCTGAGCGTTGGAGGCTCTCCTTTGTCACACCGATACCCAAGAAAAAGCCGCTGACTAGTGCAGAAAATTTTCGGCCTGTCAGCATAACATCAATATTCGCAAGGCTTTTTGAAAAAATATTAAAAAAACATATTGTTAAGCATTTAGAAGAGAACAATGTGATTCCAAATGCACAGCATGGATTTCAGCGTGGCAAATCGACGGTTACAGCAATGTTACAAGCGGTCAATGATTGGACATTGCAGTTAGATAGGGGGCAAAATATTGACGTAATCTATCTAGATTTCACTAGGGCGTTTGATAAAGTGCCACACTCCAAACTGATGATCAAGCTCAAGGCTGTAGGAGTACATCCGAGAATAATATCCTGGATTGAAGCATTTCTAAAAGAACGGACCTTCGTGGTTCATATCAATCAGGCGTTTTCATCTCCTAGGAAAATGGGATGTGGGGTCCCTCAAGGAGGCGTACTTTCGCCTATACTTTTCAACATATATACATACGAGCTCCCGCTTATACCACTGTCCAAAGATACTTATTGCTGCGCATTTGCTGATGACTTTAAATTGTATAGAACAGTCAACGATGAAGTTAGTCGTAGGCAGTTACAAGACACTTTGAATGAAGTTTTTGATTGGTCAGAGGATTGGGGTCTGCCTATTTCACGTGAAAAGACCAAAGTACTTCACATGGGCTCAAGCAACCCTGGATATAGCTACACAATGGGAGGAACAACGCTTGCAGCTGTTGATAATATAAAAGACTTGGGATTTCTGGTTGCAAGCAATCTTTCTTTTGACAAACATTGTAAGACAATTGCGGATAAGGCAACGATGGCTACTTATAACCTTTACAGAGGATTATCATGTAATGACCCTGAAGTCTTACTGAGGGCATATAAGACTTACATAAGACCTATATTGGAATACGGTACGGTGATCTATAGTCCGCACACACGAAAAACGATTACTTAGAGAAGGTTCAAAATAGTTTTACTAGGAAACTGTTGATAAGAACGGTCGGATTCAGATACGATCAGATACCGAGCAGTCGGGTTCGTAACGCAAATCTGGGTATACCTACTCTTGCTTACAGAAGGAAAAAATTCGATTTGATTATGGTGCATAAAATTCTATTTGGTGAATGTAAGCTTGACGCAAGAAATTTTATTGCTACTAGATGTTCCAATACTAGAGGAGGGACTAGGAAGCTTATAATACCAAGGGCAAGGCTAAATGTAAGGAAAAATTTCTTTACGTGCCGAGTGGCCCACGATGTGGATACGATTATGAGAAAAAAGATGTTCGTAGCAAAGCTATCACTTTTTAAAAAGTTTCTAAGAAGCTACCTTCAGTCTTCGTATTAACAATTCTACCTTTTTGTCTGTTTGTTTAGTTTAGCTGTTCGTTCTATTTGTTGAGTTTCTTCCACATTTTTTCTTTGTTGTTGTTTTATGTTGACATAGGAACTTTCCTATGCAATAAATAAATAAATAAATAAATAAATACAGTGTGCACATTATTTTGGGTTACGCTGTAGATTTTTGTCACCATACATAATGCTGCTTGGACCTGAAAGGCTAATTCAAGTGTCAGATGCATAGAGCTTTCCTCAGAAATGTAAGCGAGGAAAAAGACCACTAAACTTCATTTTTCAGAGCTCGCCAAGAATATAAGTTTGCAAAAGAATTTGAAATGCTGATGCTTAGGTTTTACGACTTAGTTTGTCGAAAATGTAGGCACCATTAACCGAGACCGTTTGCAATAAGAATTGCAAAGTCACCTTCAACAAACTTGAACTATGACTCCAGTTTTCAAGTCAGCCCTTGCAGTGTTTCAGATTTACAAAAACATGATAAAATGACAAAAGGAGAATGATTCTACAATAGGCCTGAATGATTCAAGTAAATCTGAGATACTAGAAAGCAAATCATGGCAGAGCTTGACTGTGAAATGTTCTCCTTTTCGGAGCATAAAGCGCTGCGATATATTTTTTATTCCGCATGCTTTAGTGTTTATGCATTGAATTGCGATGCCCTCATGAAATCAATCTTTGTTCCACGTTTATTTGGAAGATAGTTTGATAATGCACACAATTTGCACAAATTGTTGCCAATTCAAATATTCTCGGATAGATTTCTGTTGCCAAGCATGGCATAGAGGAAGTCCGCTCAAATGACAGACGCGGCAAGAGCGTCTGCAAAAGTGTTAGCTGTAATTGAGTACATCCGAGCGCAAAAGCTTCACTGATATATAAGTCAGTGCATATCACGACCAGAGAAAGTGGCTCGACAAGCTTGACACGGAGAGAGTTGCAGTAGTAGAGTTGCAAGACGCAACATTGAGTTATTTGGCAAGCGCATCCTCAAATTCAGCGTTGGCAGAGTAAGGTGTCTACGGAGGATTCCTGCTCCAATCCAAAAGTAATCGTTCCTGCGGGCGAATCTACGGTCCCTCCAAGTTGCGGCCTACACCTTCAAAATGACGCCATCTTCTATCCAATGTCCATGGTTTTGATCTTCTGCCTTAGCGTTTTTGCGTTGAGAATTAATCTTTACAATCGCTTCCGCATAGGATTGCCTCCTAGCATTTTTGTTGCATGAAGAGATCTTCATGATGCCTTTGCCTATGCCATGAACTTGTTGTATTTTCATGCTCATCTTGAATGTTCATTCTCGTAGTTGTAAGTAATGGTTCCTCACATGTTTACATTCAGCAAATGGCGAGCCGGCTAGCTGAGCAGGATCCCAACGAATCTCCTTTGAAGCAGATTGCAACAAAGTATTTCCTATCATGCACTGCAGCATTGGTTGCCGAAACGGTCACTTATCCGTTGGACATAACCAAAACTAGGTTACAGATTGCTAGGAATAAACACACGAAAGGAGGTATGTCCGTTTCGCTCGGTTTTACTTCGTATCTCAGCTTATGTTTGATATTATCCTTTATCACTTCTTTTAACAGTGTTCTGATTTTTGTGCTCGTTCTGTCAGGTATCGTCCTTTCCCCACAGTATAGCGGGCGGAGCTTTGCCGACGTTTGCCAACGTATGCGCATGGCAGTTTTTGGCAGCTAGAGAGTACAAAAACTAATGCTTTAGAGAGGAGGTTCAACAAGTTTTTCAACGTGTTCAAATGTCTGCACGGCCACGCCCGCTATACGCATGGGAAACGCCTATAGTACAGAGTAAGCGGTCCATAAAATTTGCGTACACATTGGGCATTTTGGTTACAGTTACAATCACTTGTCTTGCATGTTTTGCAGGGAGGGGGGGGGGCTGATGTGGATACGGTTCATCCAAGTATTCAGGCTACCCATAAATTGTAATTTTGAGTGGGAGGTGCTAATTAAAATTGATCGCATGACAGTTCTTGGAAAATTGTTTGGATTCAAGAAATATGATCAAGTTCTATGGGTAGCCTAGCGCTTTACCATGGCGCCATCTATTCCTACCGGGCTGGCTGCGCGTGCGGTTCGCGTGCGGTTGCCGTTATTGGCGTAAGGGCGCGCATTCCTTCCTGGACTTGGTTCTCATGACATCAAACTGTCACTGAAGGCTTTTGCGCCCTTTATTCATTGCAGAAGGAGCAAATGAAATGTTGATGAAGTGTTTTGTTTCATTGATGTACGCTACTTGACTAAGCTTTATGAAGTGAGATCAGCTACTTAGGCCTTGTAGGGAGTTGTCAACTCCCTACAAGGCCTAAGTAGCTTATTCCTTTTCTGAATCATTGCTTTTTATGTAGATAGAGACTAAAGAAGGTTTTGAATATGTTTTCTGCACTGACCATGATCCCTTAAAGTTTAAGCTGACTTTCCCTGAAGCTGTGTGGGCGCAACGATTTGAGGATGTTCAAAATCATATTCGATCTTATCATGGCGGTAATGAAGGAGATGAAAAATTGCCTCCATAAACATTGATCGTGAAGCATTCTTGACGGCATTCGCAGTATGCATGTTAGATTTGGACTTGGCGGCGTGGATTTGGCGTCTCCCTCCTGTTAAATTCTCGTAACATTTACATTGTAAAAGACTTTAACTCAAGAGCGGGTTAAGATCTCCATCCGCTGTCTGAGGCCAGATATGTGAACAAGTATATAATTGAAGTAATCTAGGTGTATCGGCATTGCTGCAAAACCTACCAGCATCAAACAACCATGGTCATCCAATGGTTCTTTGCACAAGTCCCTTCATTCCAAAGATACCACGTTCCTGCCCAGAATTTTACAATCCATTCACTTATTGAAGTGTTTGCATACATCGCATTACAACTCAAGTAATACGACTTCCCATCTTCAAGAATCCCAAATCTTTTCCCTTTGTTATCAGAAAAGCGGCCAGTAGTAGCAAAGTTCTGCATCTACTACAATTGACAAAAATCGTCAATTTTCAGTACTTTCCAAGCAGTTTGAGCTTTGAATATCAGCGACATAGATTAGAAAAACTCACTGTATAACATTTACAACGAGTTGTACACATGTATCTAAGTAAGTCATGGGACCAATGAGATCAAACTTAGTTTTCTGAAGGGGAAACATCGAGGATGCGAGTTCTCCATTAAAAGGGATTGATCGAGTTGTACTAGACTTGACAAGCTTAGAGAGAAAGGAGTTTCCACAACAACAAACGTAAAGAAAGAAAAGAAACGATATACTTCGCTAACATAGAAGTTCTACGAACAATTAACACGTTGACGACCGTATGCATCCGCGCGTATGCACGCCCTAACTTCCGTTTAGCATTTTCGTGCATCCGCGCATATGCACGCTAGTTTTTTAGGTGTAAACGAAAAGTTTTAAGGTAACTTCTATGCAGTAATACTACTAGTGGCCTGATAGTCTTACAGAACACAGGGCATCGCGGCAGGTTTGAGCCGCAAAATTGGGTAATCAGTCGGTTTTTGGTAAGGTAAACACATGCTAATTACGTTTTTCCGAGAAGGTTAAAACTCTGTAAAGTTGTTTTGAAAGCAAAAAAGGATGAATCAAGCAAAAAAATACCTGGTATTACAGCGGTTTTTTTGAAAAGAAAGTCCTCCAATATAGCGATTGCGCGGTTATTGGGAGGGAAAATCCACGCAAAAACCCTGATTAGTGCAAGTTCTGGTAAGGCTCTGTGATATACATGTATCTCTGAACAAAGTTCACATGTTTTATGAATAAGCGTCAAAAGGACTCCCACATAATGTTTTCGTGCATCCGCGCGTATGCACGGGCCAAATGCGCGAAGGACGTTAGTGGGAGTTTCGCCCAAAATGGCGCGGTCGTCAACGTGTTAATCATGCACCCCATGGCAAACAGATAGCTTACATATTTACCTATTTACCTACAGGCGCACTGCACTCCGTAGTGAGTTCTCAACTTTTACTTGCTTTCCAGTAACTTTTCATCCGCAAACCTGACGATCAACAGCGATCGCAGATGCTGTCGCGCACATGCAAAAATGCGCGCCCTTACGCCAATTATGGCTGCCGCATGCGAACCGCTCGCGCAGCCAGCCCGGTAGGAATAGATGGCGCCCTTTACCATACGAAAATAGTTTACATGGAAGAATTTGGAGAAAGTTCGTGTAACAATACCCGATCTTATCTATTCTTGCATAGTTTCCAGGAATGTTTCAAGTCACTTATGACATCGTCAGGAGAGAAGGGGCTATGAGTTTGTGGACTGGTATAGCTCCAGCAATTACTCGGCACTATATTTATACTGGGATCCGAATAGGTGGCTACGAAACACTGAGAGGAATGATGTTCGACGAGCAGGTAGCATTAGTCAAACTCTTGGATCTTCAACTGACTTGCTTACTATAGAAAGAGCGGACCTTCCCTGTGTGGAAGTCCATGATTTGTGGTTCGGTAGCTGGCCTTGTTGCTCAGTTTGCAGCTAGTCCGACTGATTTGGTGAAGGTAGGTGTCATTTCTTTTTCTTTTGTTGATCTTACTAGTGTTATTTAGGTGCAAATGCAAATGGAAGGGCTGCGCAAACTGCAGAATCTACCTCTTCGATACACAGGTGCCCTGGATTGTTTTATTTCGCTATATAGGACCCAAGGTATAGTGCTTAGGCCCTCGTTTGAAAGAGTGTGGATTTTGGATCGTTTCTTTTTTGAGGATTTTTTGGTCTATGGCTTGGATGGATACCAAATTGTCAACGAGCTGCTCTTTTGAATATGGCCGACATCGCTACGTATGATTTTGTGAAGCACAAATTGGTCGGAGACTTCAGTTTCCGTGTAAGCTTAGCAGTTTGATTAATTATCGTATCTGTTCAAGACATGACAATTATGAACTATCGAATTTTTTTCCTTGAGATAACGTGCAGGTGTTATCTTTTCTACCACTGTTCACACTATCAATTCAGAGTGCGGTTTGATTGGCTATCTATGTGAACTTACTTGCAATTTTCGCATCCAGTCATGTTGTCTTTCTATGCACTTTCGTTTTCGCATCGTTCATTTTCCTGAACTCAAAAAATTTAGGATAATTGGTTCACTCATGCCGTTTCAAGTGCTTGTGCAGGGTTATCGGCTGCCATAGTTTCACTGCCATCAGATGTTGTCAAAACAAGAATGATGGACCAGATAAGACATGAGCTAGATGCCAAAATGTACGTTCAAATCTAAATTGATCAGAGTTGGGGATGCACAACTTTCAGAAGGCATTCCAGTCAATGTTTTTGCCTCAGGAACATTGTTCTTACAGGTCCCATGTCAAGAGTACCCATGTCCATCTCTACAACGGCTGCATAGATTGTTTTATCAAAATAGTTCGTCATGAGGGATTCTTCTCTTTATACAGAGGATTCCTTCCTAGTTACATTCGAATGGCACCATGGTCATTGACGTTCTGGGTTTCTTATGAAGAAATTCGGAAGTTCGTGGGGGCGCCTAGTTTTTAGGAACTTTTCTTTGTTTTTTTCAAGACTTGTTAGTGTTGAGTGAGCTCACCTCAGGTCAGCGCTCATATTACGGGTAAACAATACTGAGTGCTGTCTTTGTATTTAGTTATTAGTCATTGCTTAGCTATTGTTTTGTTTTTGGTAAATTACCTCATGACAATTGCTTGACACTCTTTTGCTAACATGACTCTATGTGAGTGCCATGTCATTACCTCATCCTGTTCTAGTCACGTTTCTAATTTCTTTTTCTTTTTTTTGGAAGCAAAATCTGTAATAGTTTGAGCTTCAGCTGTGATAATCGGGTTTTTTGTCCATAGAGTCTTCATCACCCTGTCAGTGTGCTAGTTTGTACCATAGGATTAGGTTTTAGTCATCTTTACATGTAGTAGTCACTATTTCCTTCCCATAGTAGTCTTTTGGATAATTAGATCCGTAGATTGCATCTCTAAAGTCAAGGAGTATGGCCGTCTTGCTCATATTGATGCTAGTATAGTGTTCTAGAAGTGTTTGCATAAAGTTGTTATCAAGCAATTGTTTTTGCTTGAGTGATCATGTGAAATCTATCTGATATCGGCACTTTTTTGTACCTCTACTAGGCTGTCGAAGGTTATTGTAAGAAAATCTGTCCATCGATATTGTTTAGCACAAAACATAGCTGCCGCTATGTTGTGTGTTGACGCAATGAACAGTTGCGTTCATTATTATCAGGCGATCAGATCAATGGCGTTTGCCCTATTGATCTTGACTCACATACTCATACTCGATTTCATCTGGTTTCTTTTTTGATCGTGAAGACATTTTTAGAAGTTTCGTGATTTTCAAAGATTGGCTTTTCACATTTTTTAGATACAATTTGAAGTTTTTAGCGCTTATTACGAAATTATTTATTTGGTCGGTTGCTTCTTTTTGTTGATTTCACGTTATAATTATGTAAAAATGCAGTAATTCTTTTTGGTACATTGATAAATCCAGTCTCTGCAGTTACTATATTTTCCAGAATTTACGTTTAGCGGCATCGTATGTTTCTTGCCTGCCGCGCTTGTCATCTAGGAGCGGTACGCCATGCTTCTACATCGCAGTACTATGATGCCGTCGTTGTTGGTGGAGGGATGGTTGGTAACGCTATGGCGTGTGCTCTAGGTGTGTTTTGCATTTCAGAGATTTGTCTTGTTCTTCACTGTTTTTCTTGATCGCATTCTCAAAAATTTCAGGTAAAAATCCCAAATTCTCATCCAAACGAATCTTACTGTTAGAAGCCGGTAAAGTAAAGCCGTTACCTATTGTACCTCCTGAGCACCACAGTAACCGTGTCTCTGCAGTAGGCCCTGCGGCTATAAACTTGTTCAGAAGTAAGTGCTATGAAACTTGTTCTGCTTTCGTCCCTTTTTTATTAAGTAAAGATCTGTAAGAAAAATTCGAAGCAGAAAATTGCAATTTTCAGAACTGGGAATATGGGATGGATTGCAAGCATACAGAGTGAAGAAAGTGAACGCTCTTCGTGTAAGTCAAGCCTTTCTCTTCTCTCTTTTGTCATGATAATCAGGGGCGCCACCGTTTCAGGTTATAGATAACTGCTCTCGAGCTGAAATAGAGTTTGACCCACCATATAATGTGGAAGGTATGATCGTTTTTGGCTTAAAAGCTTTTCGCTTTTCCACGCCTTTACTTTTATTCTAGAAATCGCGTACATTATCGAAAATAATGCCATGGTTGGAGCGTTGCATGATGAGATCGTGAAAAGTTCTTCTGTCGAGATCAGAGCTGAATCTGCTGTGAAGGATTGCTTGTAGGTAATTTATTGAACCTTTTACCATTCGCTTCCGATCTTTCCAGTTCAGCCTTCCTCCAAATCTCAATGATGTTGCTACCTTAGAGCTAGAGAATGGTGACAAGGTGGAGACCTCACTTGTGGTAAGCCGTACTTGTGAGTTTTCAACATGATTTCTTTCCATCGTCAACCATATAGCGTTTCAGATTGGAGCAGACGGTGCTTACTCTAAAGTAAGACAAGCTATGGATGTTGACTATACTTCTATGAATTACGAACAGTGTGGTATCGTGGCAACTCTTGTTGTAGAGGTGAGTTGCACAGCTTTGATCATTCAAATCTTATTGCTCCAAGTTTTTCGCTTAGGACCTCATTTTGCTTATTTAAGACTCCTGGAGAAAATGACATTGCATGGCAACGATTTTGCCGGTCGGGACCGGTGGCTTTCCTGCCCCTTGCTAATAATCTTTCGTCTCTTACTTGGACAACTTCTACCGAACATGCACAGCAATTGTTAACCATGTCAAGAGACGAGTTTGTGGATGAGCTCAACTACACAATGGTTGGTTCAAGTTAGTGGTGGTCCTCTGTGACAATTATTTTCAGTTCACTGAGGAAGATCAGAACGATTTGGTCAATAAAGCACTCTTTGCATTCTCAAAGCTGCCTTTCCTTTCCGGCAATACTATGCCTACACCTCAGCCGCCCCATGTTATCGAGCTACAAGGTGATTCACGAGCGGCATATCCTTTAGGATTCGGACATGCTCACACGTATGTCATATGATGTTTATAATGGCAGGGTACTGCCTTGTCAAACTGTGCATCTTTTCTAATTATTAGGTTGGCACATGTAATGCAACTTTTTATATAACTTTTGTCTGTTTGAACGTAGCGCATTCATTTTTTGGCAATATAAGGAGTATGATGTTAGCTTCTAATGCACACATTTTTGCCGATTTTTACCATCTTATGTGAGGATTACGGTAGGTTTACGGTACTATGGGAAAATTTTTAGAATGCATCAGATTTCGCTGAAACTTGGCCTATAGGGCTTATTTGACATGCTGATCACAAAAATGAGGTCCGTTTCGCATGAAAAGGCCTCGTTCGTGAGATCAAAAGATGAATTTCATTTTAGCGACAAATAAATGATATTGTGTTTACCGCATAGGATTATCCTATAGTGCAAAGTTATAGCGAATGACTTTTCGCAGCTTAGTTATTGACAAATTGCCTTCAAAACTTGACGCATTTGACTTGTTCAACTTCTCAAAGGCGCCCCACCTTAATTTGTGTTTAAATCTCATTCCTTTTTCACTGATTCTAATGTGCCAACTTCCAGCTACATGCTGCCTATAATTGTTTTCTCATATGTTTGAATCAGGTTTCGCAGGGCTTCATGTTTGCCAAAAAATCGTGAAACCTCGATTTTCAACAGTTTTCAAAAAATGCTTAGATTTTTTGTACTACGTCATCAAAAATCAAACGGTTTGCGCAGACTTGCAGCTTACATCACGATCTACATGATGCCACAAAATGAGATTGCTACATAAAATAGGAAAAAAGTTACGGGAAAGTTGCAAAACTTATGTGCCAACCTAATATTTTTACAAAAGGCCTTCGAACGAAGATTTGTTTGATCTATATGTGTGTTATTTGCAGATATATACACCCTCGCGCAGCACTAATTGGTGATGCAGCACATCGCATACATCCACTGGCCGGCCAGGGTGTCAATCTCGGTTATCATGACGTTATCGTGCTCAATCGTATCCTTGGTCGTGCTGCATCAGAAGGAGCAGATCTTGGTACGTGAAATACGCGTTATGGCTCTTTCTAAAAGATTTGTGGGATTCACTAGGGGGCAGGATAATCATCATAATGCTCGTTATCATCATTTTTTTCGATTTTACGTTATTGCGGCAGTGCATCGCATAATAGTAGCTTCAAATGCAACAAATCATCGAGTAGATCACACTTTATGGGAACACAGGTCGTTAGTTAGACAACTTTTTCCCTCTACTCTTTTCGATTACTATGGCTTTACTTTTCAAGATTTGTTTCTGTTTGCATCTATAGTAGTCATGTTTTTCAAGCCTCCTTCTTTGTAAGTCCCTGAGGCCCATACTTCAGGCGATCTCGGCCGCTTTGGATTTGGACAGCTTTTTTTTATAGCATCTCCTGCAATTCAGCTTGTCAGACGTTCCAAATTCTGCATCCTACTGAGTGCTCGCGTAATCGCTACTGGTTCATTGGCATAGAATCATTATAAATCTTATATCATCGCTTTGATCAGTTTATCAGCCAATATGTTACACTGCCATTCGAATCAAAAGCTAAATTTAATCTACAAGAACCCGTTGATTCCGAATTGGATCCAAATTTTAGGTTCCATGACATATTTGCAAGAATACGACACTGAGGCTCAACGTAATAATTTACCGGTTATGGTCCTTTGCGATTGGCTAAATAGATTATATCGAACGAATGCGGCTCCGATTGTGTTGCTGCGATCTGTTGGTCTTTCGATGTTCAATAGACTGACACCAATAAAGGTATCAGACGTTATTTGATTGACGTCTGCTTGCACTGTCAACTCAAAAATTCTCTGATTAAGGATTATCTCGTCACTCGATTGTCGACAGCTAATTGACAGGACCTCGCAAATTCAAATAGACGCAGATGCTTTCTATGAGATAGAGTTGTTATATTGTTCATTGAATAAATCTAATTCCTTTAGCAAAGATTGTTTACGAAGACGGAAGATTGGATTTAAAAGTCCTATTTTGGTCTTATTGTGCATTCAGAAATTTGCAGTGTTTGCACAATTCACTGCCATTTTCTTTTGCGCCCACCGTCAAGCTGGTCTGTTTAGCGAAAAGGTGACACAAAAGGTTTTCCAAATAAGGCGAAAATGACCTAAACCTATAAAAGGACTGAAACTTCCCTTGGAAGCAATTGCAAACACGAACTACACATGCTTCCATTGCAACTACTGGGAATGGTACGTTCTATTCTGGTTTTTTTCTGAATGAACGGCGCATTTCGTACTTTGACCTAACCTAGGGTAGTACATGACAACTTTTGAACCGCAAGTTAACTCTGAGCGTTTACTAATTATTAGGTTGGAAAGAAAATAATTGAACATTGCATTTGTATAAAGTTTCTGTTTCGATGTGAGCACTGACTGGGGCATGCTGCATACCGTTGAATAGAGGAAAGCAGTCTCTACAAAACTGATTAGATTTCGAGAGACAGCAGGTTATTCTGAAAGCCCGAAGACTTTTTCCGATCTAATAAGATGATTGGTAAAAGGGATCATACATAACAAAATCAATCTTTAGCGTATTTATAACTATTCATTGTCATTTAACCTTTATCTTGAGTACCCTTTGTACTTTTAGCATTTCAACTGAATTCACTCAAAATTTACTTTTAACCTGATTAGCTATAAAGTCTCCACAATTTGTTCTAGCAAACCATTGGGAATGTAGACGATTTTCTTCATTCTGCTCAGTGGCGATCCGAAATTATTTTTCGGATGTGAGGATAACAGAATATTCTTCATTGGAAAACTGTGGAGTTAGCGACGGCAGCCATGTCTCCCAAGAAATTTTCTTTGAAGCCAAATCAAGTTGCAGAAATTATCAAAATCGTTGCAATTACTATTAGGGAAAAACATCTGCACAACGGGTAGTATACCAGCAAAGTTTCATCAAAACGTATACCGGATCACCTTGATTTGGCTAGGAAGAAGGGAGTTGTAATGGGAGGGAGTTAGAAGGAAACAGTTTTTGAGACGGAAAGCATCCCCGCTCAAGTCTACAATATCACCACAACAATTATAGAACTGCAAGAAAAATCTTTCTAGAGTTTGAAGTAATTTTTACAGGCAGCAATTATGGCCCTGTCAGAGGGATCTGGTAAGTTAGTTTCTACAGTGCTATGGTAGCATGTATAAACTTTCTGTTTGCAAGCACCCGAATGCGGTGAACATTCAGTAGGTGGGATTCCTCGATTTGTAAGAAACAGCTTTGTGGAAGTGATGACGAAGATGCACCCAGGAATGGTAAGTGATATTTTAATCTCGCCTAATAACAAGAGACGCAAAAAAAAATCTCAAAAAATGAAGGGACATTTGGCTGATGAGAAAAAATCAGTCAGTCAAGCAATTCTGGTGTCTTGATCAATGGAATGAGTATGTACTTGAATGTCCCACATTGATTTAGGTTTACGACTGTAATCTGGAAGAGCAAGCAATGCATGGCATCTCCTTCTATGGCGGTTTCCTATTGGACCGAATGCGAGGAGTCACATATAACTACTTCACAAGGAAATATGATGAAGATGAGAGGATGAGAAATGTAATCAGAGATGCAGTGGATGTTTGGAAAAATGACCTCGGACGGGTACCATTTCATCTCACAAAATTGTCGTAAACAACAAAAAGTAATTTAGATAGAGAATAAAACACGATATGGCTGTAACTATCGGGTCAACAATTTGGTCTACAGCATTCTCTGTGCCTATGCTTGAACAATTTAAGAAGTGGCATAGGATGTATACTCAGCGTATATACTCAGTGATCTTGATTTATTACTGTTTTCCCATTGATTTATTGATTAAAAAAATTATAAAAAGTTGTGTGTTGTTGTGTGCTGTGTTGCTTCGGTGTTAACACATTCACGACAGTACGACTCACCCGTGGGTAGTATGCTTTCTGAAGTTTCTGATTTTGCTAGTTTACGATACCTTTTGGAATACTTCCCAGAAGATTAACCCTTCAGAACATTGGACCTATCAGTGGCCAGAAAATATAACGCAACAATATTGCGAAATATCTCTGGTCCGAAATAGCAGTCATCGGAAAATCGGCCTTGTCGTGAATGTGCTGATGTAGAAAGTGCAGATGTGACTGAAGAACTTTGGAGGCAGTGTCCCGCCAAAATCGCACTCTGCGGTTTTTTACCGGGTAGCAACTATATGTCGCCATGGGCTCCACCCCTCGCGGGTAGGTGATACAAATCTCTAGCGCCTGTAGCGCGTGGAGCGGGTGGAGGACATCAGGTCGCCGAAAGAGGGCGGTCCCCGCGGTCATTTGCGACAAATACGCACCCCTGTACATACGCGGACATGCGTTCCTGCAGGGAATCCGCCCGGGACTCTTCCAAATTCGGCGACCTAATGTCCTCCACCCGCGTGGAGCTGCGCGCTTTGTCGCGGATGTCCGCGGGGGACCACTTCCTTGAGACATATAGCCCCACCCTTTTTACCTTTTCGAAGCCTTCTCGCCATGCTGAACCCATATCTGGGCATTGCAGCGCATAAAAAGGCAAAAATGAGCTTCTTTCGAAGCTCTCCATGATCGCACTCGCTGCAAAATACGTATAAGTCGGCGGGTCCGTAAAGAGAGCGTTTGTAAGACTTTCAGAGTGGATTTCGGGCTTCCTCGACGCGTTTTTTCGCTCCAGACTTCACTGATAGATTAACGGAGGGGGGGGGGGAATGAGTTGCTATTGCAACGCTATGAAATATGGTACCCATCGTTGCCGGGGCGTTGCCTTTAATGACTAGACTTTTAATGAACTTGCAGCTCTAATTTATAAATGAATTAGCGTTGCAAGTTTTTTATTTCTTTAAATTAATAAATAATAATTATAATTTTTTTAAATAATATAATTTTTTTCAGTTTTTTTAAATAAACAAATAAATTTATAGCTCCACTGGCATTTTTGTTTACAAGATTAGAATTTCAAGTTTGAATATTATCTTACTTACGCACGAGAGTGGCCGGAATGCATGAATCCCAGGTTTTGAACATTCGCACTACAAATTTTTCAGGAAATACATCCTTGTCTTGAGCACTCTATTCCCAACAATTAGTATTCCTTCCATTCTTGCATCTGTCGAACCACTATGGCTTTGGCCATACTTTGCCCGTGTTGCCGATGTTTCCAGTGTTGCCAGTGTTGAAAGTGTTGCCGGTGTTGAAAGTGTTGAAAGTGTTGCCGGTATTGAAAGTGTTGAATGGAGATCATCAGTCTAGCAGTTTCATTCTTTCTCGAACGATCTCACCGGCTGGTGAATACATTGGAAATGGAATTGGGGAATGAGAAACGAAACTGAAATGATAATTCACTTAGGTCCTTTACTCACTAATCGCAAACGCGGCAGGATTCGAACTAAAACACATTACTACTCAGACTTCAGCTTTCTTATATATTGGAGATTGCCTATTCCAGACAAGCCGTCCACTTTCCAAAAAGTTTGTTTGAGGATCTTTTGCATGCGAAAATCTTCCCCGTCTCATTTCAGTTTCGTTTCTCATTCCCCAAATCCATTGTCAATGTATTCACCAGCCGGTGAGATCGTTCGAGAAAGAATGAAACTGCTAGACTGATGATCTCCATTCAACACTTTCAATACCGGCAACACTTTCAACACTTTCAACACCGGCAACACTTTCAACACTGGCAACACTGGAAACATCGGCAACACGGGCAAAGTATGGCCAAAGCCTATTATCAGTTATCCAAGAGTTATCACAGCCTATAAATAGGAACTAATCGGAGTTGAATTCATTTTCATTTTCAACATTTCTGCGGCATGCAGCGATCATTGAGCATATTTCGTGGTTCTCGTGGACTCTTAGGCTGTGAGTGGGACCCTCACACCTGCTCTCTTTCGCGACGGACATGATATTACCGTTTCAGTAACTCGCACTTTGGTGCGCTTCCAAAGCTCAGCGGTGAGTCGCCCTATATTGTTTTCAGAGAACAGAACTAGGTCGAAGCGATTCATGGTAGGCAAAGAAGAGCGTCACTATGAACGCTGTCTGCGTCTCGCTGATCGAGCACTCTTTTGCGCCTCTTGTCGTCTGTCGTCTCTCCCATGCAGGAACTATCTTGGTCGGACGCAACAAGATCCGGTCCGTGCGTGCGATGAATCGTCTTAGCTTTGACATGATGATGTGAAATCAGATCAGTCAGTGACGGAATCACCTTATATGATACTCTAGAACTGCGCAGTCTTAGCTTATGTCCCATTCAATTCTTATAAAAGTTCATCAGGCATTTAGCCTCCTAGGTTCCGGCTCGTCCATTAGGATAAGACGGACTGCACACCGCTGCCAAAGATCGGCATTCTTTAAAGAGGTTTTGACATGCGCGGTTAGATGGAGCTTTCCTAGTCAACGAAGATTGGTTTGCAACCACCGATCAGCAAAGTGGTAGAAATGTAATGAGATGGGGATAAGTCGCCATTAGCCCTGAGAAGCTCCATCATTTCATTTTTATAGCAGTGTGAAGCTCGCAGACAAAAGGGAGATGGGGGTCGGGGGCTTTCCAAAACAGAACACCCTTAATTCCAACATGTCAAAGCTCCGCCCTTTCTCCTTGGCTCCACGTTTGCACTTATAGCTGCTTTTACCCTCCGAGATTACTCTGGTGCCAATCTACACCATCCCGGAGGAGGGTACGGTTCAATTGACCTAAAGATAGGATCGAAACTTGGTCCGATCTGGTCATAGCTGCGCCTTATACCACTGCGCTACTCGTCCTCTCTGAAAAAGTATCACAAGTAAATATTTGTTGCTTGTCGTTGGTCCCTTATTTTTTTACATGAGATCTATGTTGACGCTTATTGTGCAGCAAAGCACTTAAAGTTCTGCTTGTTGCCTCACGCGTCCTGCCATATGCTGAACGGACTTGCATATGTGAGATAGTTTTAAAAAACGTCCAGATGATGAGTAGATTGGTGCCTAGTATTGAACAACCAATTGCTTTTGATTCAGGAATTAATGGATCCATGCTGTGATCCACACAATCCAAAGACGCTCACATTCCAGCAAATCTCGATAGCACAGCATCAGCTTAAGATAAGTATTTGAGTGGTGACTTTTATCGAGCTGAAAAGGTCAGCTATTACGACTTTTTAGGGGGGAGTGGTGCACACCGATTGTAGGTACTCGAGACATATCTCCAAATTGACAGGATGTCAGGTGTATATAAAAATGGAAGTGAACCAGGTAGCAACATCTTACTTCCATGGTGAACCCTACACAAATCACTTGTTATTCTAGGATACGGGCAGCTTCAAGGAAAGAGGTGGACGGTTTGCATTGATGAATCTCACGGATGAAGAGAAAAAGAATGGAGTATGCATCTTAATCTTACCTATCAAAAATGATAATTTTTTCTTTGACAGGTATTTGCTGCTTCAGCCGGAAATCATGCGCAAGCGCTTGCTATTCACGGCAAACGGCTAGGAATAAAAGTTACAGTCGTAATGCCAAAGCATGCGCCATTGATGAAAATCAACAAGTGCAAGGAACTTGGAGCGAATGTTATCGTAGAAGTGCGTGGGCATCTGGATCCATATACAAAGAAGTACATATATCCCCTTATCTTAGGGCAAAGATCTGAGCGTCGCGAAAAAGCTCGCTATGAATCTCGCACAAAAAGAGGGAGGCAAATACATTAATGGATACGATCACATTGACGTGCTTGCTGGCGCTGGAACTATAGCAGTCGAAATCCTTGAAAAGGTACTCTAGACACCAAAAACTTGCTAAAATGCACTTAGCCCACTGGTTCCAGGTTCCCGACATCGATGCAATACTTACACCTTGTGGTGGAGGAGGATTATTAGCTGGCTGCTGTGTGGCTGCTCAGGCTTTGTCTCCAAAAGCGAAAATAATTGGATTAGTGCCAGAAAACTGCGTGTCAATGATTGTGAGTTAATATACCCCATATTGACACGAAAAGCGTTGCAAATGAGTTTCGCTCTCAACGTGGTGGTTTAGAAGTCACTGGAGGCAGGAAAGGTTACAACTGTCAAAACCAATCCAACCTTAGCCGACGGATTAGCTGTGCCAACAGTTGGCTACAACTCGTTTCACAATATAAAAGGTTAACACTAAAATTAAGAATGATTGCGCGCCATTAATAAAAGCTTCCTCAAAATATTACAAGACTTTTGATTCTAAACGAAGAAAAATTTCAAGATTATGCAGTGTAGAGCTTCATCCCACATGAAATTGTGCTTATAATAATCGAAATTGATTGTAGTTGAAGTCTGAGCCCTACATCAAAATTGAATTTTTTATCCAACGCAGCTGAACACTTTAATCAAAGTTTTGAATAGTAGCTTAAAAATAAGTTAGGCAAAATTGTAATTACCTTTGATTCAACTGGCTTGGTGACTGGAAGGTGGGGCTTCGTGACCTAATTGAGGCTAGGGAATCATCAAAGAGAAGCGCGCGGGAGAGACGCAGGCTGCGTCGCGGGCGCGAGCGGCATCAACTAGGTCACAAAGCCCCGCCTTCCAGCCGTCAGGACAGTTGAATCAAATGTTACAAATCAAATTTTGTTTAGATCTTGTACACAAAGTCATCGCGGTAAAAGAGACGGACATTGCTGTTGGAATTTTGCGGCTTCTTGAGACTGAGAAGGTAGACAAGGAAAACCCCATACTGTTGAAAAACAACAACTTCTAGGTAGTAACAGAGGGAGCTGGAGCAATAGGAGTGTCCGCTCTCTTGGCAGGATGTTTACCTGAACTTGCTGGAAAGAAAGTAGCGTGTATACTTAGTGGTGGAAATATCGATTCTACAATGATTGGGAGATGCATTGAGAAAGGTACGAGCTGATATTTTTCTTCGAATTTCACTCTCGCTTGTAGGTTTGGCTGTGGATAATCGCTTGATTCGCGTTGAAGCACTCATTTCTGATCGTCCTGGTGCCGTTGCTGAATTAGCGAAGATAGTTGCCGACACCGGCTCTAAGATAAAGGCAATGGCAATGGTTAGAGTTTCATTTTACGCAAAAAATCTAGCTTTTACCCCCTACTCTACGTAGGAAAGGGCGTTCCATCACAGTGAAGCTTTCAACACGCAGTGCAGGGTAATAGCAGAGACAAGAGGTATTCATCATGCGTTGGAGTTGAACAACACTTTGAAGAAAAGGTAGCTTATTATACGGTGCCCTACAACATAAGAGTCTCATATGTTTTAAGGTACGGCACGGACTGCAACTTCTTCACTATTCGTGGGCCATTGACGTGAGAGCGATTGAAATTGAATGCAAATTTGTAGCATTAGATTCCGTTCGCATTGACATTATGTCAATAAACACGTTTAGTGAACTGTATCGTCCTCATTCGAAAGAAAACAAATGATTCGATGTACTATGTATGCACAAAGCCACGTGATTTAGAAGCAATGCTAAGCTTATGTGAAAAAACAATACTATGATTTATTATATGCACAATAATTGCAAACAACAATTGAAACTTTGTATAGGGGTGTTGGGGGTTATATGTCACTCTACAATAACTGCGGATATTCTGCTTATCTTGAAGTAGAAGGCTTTCATACTGTGTTTTACTATATAGACCCTGCTGTTTCTCGGGGGGCAGCCAACATGAACGATACATTGTGCCAGCCATATGCGTGACGTAGTTCAAATATTTTCTAGATTCTATATTCACGCCATGTTAATGTTTAGGATTTTGGAAAAAACGCTGTGAGCTGGTATGCCTTAGTTCTTACTGTTCGACACCATTTTCAACCCAGTGAAGAACATATCGCTACAAAAAATAAGACTTTAGACGCGGCATATTGACAACTGCACGAGTACAGTATGCTTATTTCCAGCTATCGTTCATCTTGGCATACACCCCTGTTTCTCGGTTGCGACGTCGTTTCCAAAGTGACAAAGTACCATAAGACAGCATCGAGCCTTACTGCGCTTGCTTCCTCGACGGATTTACAGTTTTAACTCTGAGACCATGCTCTTCAGTCTCCCTTTCTATCATGTACACATTGTAGAAATGACAGAATGAAAAAGGAGAACGGAATTTGCCTATCCAGAAGACTTGCACAACGTAACCATAGATGTTGGGAGCTGTCGGCAACGCTAATTAGCGCGGTATCTGGAACGGATCTCTTCAAACATTGAGCCCCGTTCTCATCCAGCAGTGCTTGAACCCAGAATAGCTGTACTTTTAAACTGAAAGTTCAGTATCGATATATGTATATGCCCAGTCAAGGTAAAAGGTAATTAAAAGAAATATTCTGGGAGGTTATTCCCCATGTTAGCAATTTCGTTCACTCCCTCTTCCCATTTGCAGTTTCTGTAATGTGAATTTTTCTTACAATAACTTTAATCGAGTTTAAAAAATTGGAAAAGAAGCGAAAAACTGCTTTAGTTGGGAGTATTGGCTAAATCTAAATCCAATCAAACTATCAGTTTCCAAAATTTCACATTCGAAAATGAAAATCAAACACCGGAAGTTTCTGAGAATGAACATGACATCCCGTCATGATGCTGTGAATGGTAGGTAGTGTCGCTGACATGTGATACCTAAGGTATGTTGCGGCATGTCATTTGGGTAGGTAAGTTGAAGTGAAAACCAGTGAAAAGGCAAAGCTCGGCACGAGGTTAGCAATTATCTAGAAACGAAGTCCCCTTGACTTAGCCGCAAAGTACAGCATCGTCTATAGCTCGCTCTCAAATGAACTGAACACGAATAAGAAAGCAGACTAGAACAACCATAAAGAAACATCAACAAAAAAAGATCTACTCCTATTCTCCGAATTGGCGACACGCTGAAGGTGCCCTTTGCTTAGCAATTATTTAGAAACGAATTCCCTTTGACTAAGCCACAAAGTACAACATCGTCTATGGCGCGGCGGAACCCGCACAGTATTTTCCTAAGTCCTTCAATTTTACGTCTGCTCATGCTGGACCATGGACTTCCAGATTTCTGAAAATAACATTCCGAATCAGTCTATATTTGAGTCCACTTCTCTACACACTGTGAGTAGTCCTTGGAATCTGATAAGGCAATTGTTTTCACCGGATTGTGAGCACTATCCTCATAAACATAAGCGTAAGGAAGACATGTCAAAGTAAGTGGATATCCGGGGAGACAAATCATTCTAATGATTCGCGAAAGTTACGAGTATCCTCTTAGATGATTATGGTGTATGCATATTTGCAAAAATCTTATTGTTTACGTTATCGATTGTAAAAGTGACTTAGTTCTTCATGTTTTCGCATCACAAAAACAAGCAATATTACAATGACAAATCGCCACTTACGAAGTAATGCTGTTTTTGATTTGAAGCTGTCGATGCTATTCCATGACCTTTCCGTAGCTGAGCAAAGTTTTCAGCAAATTGTGCTGTCTAAACATTTTACAAAAGTAGTGAGATTCAAGAAAAATGTATAAAGGGTCAATGCCGTTTTGTATCCCTTGCTCGAAAGTCAACGTAGTAAGGCGTTTTATCAGCACATTTGCTCACTTAGAAAAAGCAGGCTACTTTTGACAGCGATTGAGCTCAAATTTCAAAGCAGTTACAGATAGGTGGTCAAACATGATGGATAAACATAGTTCGATCGCTTCTGTCTTTGAAAAATATGCGTATTGTAAAGTCGCTAGCTGCTTTTAGAAACCGCTAATCCCTTTTTTCAGTCAAGCCAATCATTTGGGTTCATTAAAAAGCAAGGGGATGTGGTTTCTTTGAATGTGGTGCAAAATTTCGAGTAAACTACTTATGTCAAATTTCGCAGCATACCACAGTTTTGACATGCATCCTCCTTGCTCGACAATCTCGTACTGTGTTGCAATGCCATATACTGTATTACTGGCAAATATTGTATTGTACTGTATTTTATTGTTGAAGCATGCATTTATAAACAGGAGATAGAAGGCTTCTCTTCTGATAAAACGTATATTAGCCTTTTTCCCATTGAAAAAAATCTCTTCTAAGTCAACTGTCTATGATAACATGAGGAAAGAAGAAAGTTTAATATACTTTATTGCGCATGTGGTTGTGAAGACTATCTACAAGCAGTGCAGAAAAGCAAAAGCAAAAGCGCATGCTTGACGCTTTCGTCAATCTATGCCGGCAATGTAGAAAGTTTGTCGAACTTCAGAGTAACTCAAGTCCTTTCTTCCAGTCTTGTCGTAGAAAAAATTACCATTTAGATCCACGTATTCTCGGATCTCTTCTTTACCCAAGCAATCACCTTCCGGAGAAACGCAGTAACTGGTGAAGGCGTAGGCGTTGTAGAAATAGTAACCGGTGGTATTGTAAGTTTCTCCAAAATACAGACGACGATGATCTGAAAGCCTAAGATGAAGTCAGTCGGCAGTTATCACTTAACAATGTTTTAAGCTACGCATAGATCTATCTTATTGTTACAAAAATTTGCTTTATCTATGTTATCGAAAAAAAGTAGTGGATCTATGACATTCTGCAGCAACTAACTATTCTGCGACCTAAATTTTGCGGTATCGCGATACTTCAGCTCACAAAGGAAGGAAGGTTGGCGAAGTGGCCTCCTAAAATGGGATATAACTGTCTTGTAGAGCTTAGAGCGCTGATTCCAAATCTGCCTTCGTTAGCTGCTGCGGTTCTGAGCGAGGAGTTATGAAAGTTTTTGTAGGTAAAAAACTGAATGCAAGACTGGTGTAAGATTGTAATATTTTTTCTAGGGCTTAACTGGTAGTCGGGTCACTCAGTGTAACAAATATGCTTTGTTCAAATATGCCAACTCGTTGCTGCCTAATCTAGACATCAGGAAAACGTTACGACTGATTTTACATCAATCTTGCATTTGAATATTTACTCACAGAAACCTTCATAACTTCCCACCCAGAAGTCCGCAGCAGACAGCAGAATTAGATTTGGAATCAGCGTTCCAAACGCTAGAAGAATTTTTACATCTCATATTAAAAGGCCACTTCGACCAACCTTCCTTTCCTTGTCAGTGCACTTGAAAGACAGGTTAGATTGTGTAATGTATGTTGAGAAATCGTAATTGCGCGCAAGAGGATAACTCTACTTTTACTACGATATTGCGCTATCATATACTCACTGGCTTTGTGAAATACAGGTACGGATATGCAAGTATCCTCTGCCTTTTTGGATAAGAATAATCTAAACAAAGGCTATGTATGGTAGTTGACAACACTTTATACAAAAACCTCATATATAACTTTATCAGCTATCTGTGCTTGATGTTAAAGAGCTTTTCACCTTGGCTTTCCATCTATCCACCCTTTCGGAACTTTGGAAGAATCGATGAAGAAGAGGTGGTACATGTGAGTAGAATAATAAGGTTTGATAACAGTAGCATTTGGTATTGTACTTTTATCACATTTCATCGTTGAAACGTTTTCTGCATGTGGGATGTTCTGAAACGGTATGTCGCCAGCGGCTACTTCCGTCATGCACGACGAATCAGTTTCTTCACGTGAAAGCACGTATCCCTTCCCCTGTGCGTCACCTTTTTTATATAATCTGCAGTAGGAATAGTTCTAAACTAAGCATTCCATATATTTTGCCGTATATATGTTGAAAACCTCTTCAAACCTCATCATACTGCACCACTGCGCATTCGCTTTCTTCATAGCAAGCTCTTAGACACTGAACCTCATTTTTTGTGTAGATGTGAAAGATATAGTCTCCGTGGTGAGCATCAGACTTTAAGCGAAAGACGCCAGAATTGGAGGTCTAAAGTTAATGAGATTTGTTTGAGTTACACTTACGGAAATTAAAATCAGCTCACCATCCTCACCAAGAAGAAGACAGACAAAACTCTTGCAGTAACCGACATAGAATACAGTCTGACCTCGACTCTTTCTGCACACTAGTGAAATGCTAGAGATGTTGGAGAAAAAAGATCTCTTTATGTCTTCCATCTTTGTCGTCGTTTTCCCGTGACCTAGCAACCATTGTACAGCATACTATTTCATTGTATTACGTACAACATACTATTCGCAATAAACTGGCAAGAGGATAGCAACCGCATCCCTTGGAAGTAAAATACTGCATTTTCCATACTCACATTTACAAAAGAAAAATTTTGGACTCAATAAGTAATCGCTCAGATTTACACTCGTTTACTTGAACAGTAAGGCTCCGGCCAGACTTCACGCGACTTAATCGTCGCGATCGAATCGCCAAGATTTCCATTTTCATTTCCAGTCAAAAATTTCGGGCTGGAAAAGTATCACAACCGAATGCAAGTTGATCAGCATGAAATGGTGTTGTAACAGTTGTCTCGTCGCGATTCAGTCGCGACGATCAAATCGCGTGAAGTTTGCTCGGGACCTAAAGCATCATGAGATGGCGATCTTGCTCAGTTATACTGGATGATTTCAAAGCATCCAAAACCTATACAAACGTACAATACCCTCGTGATTTGTGGAAAGAAAACGCCAATTGATGTAGTCTCAGGCAACAATCGCGTGAGTTGCGCGACAGTCACTGGAGTTAAGTGAGGGTCGCCTGATTCAGAACAGGTGAAGGGGCTATTTTATGTCTGCTTGCTGATGGTCGGCTCGTACTGGTAGATGTGCTCATGCTTGATCAAGGTGGTGCGGTTTGTTAATTAGATATCACTGCGAAGGGTGCGAATCAAATGTTAAAGACATCATCATGGTGAGACGGCATTTTAGTGGGTCCAAAGTTGCCCAGTAGTCTGCACCGTACCAGAACACCTGCATGAAAAAACGGCGGAGCTAGGCTTACCTATTAACCAGCCAACACATCTTCTCTAGGAACAAGTTTTTCTAATCAACATCCAATGAACGTCACGCTGAAAAGGTAGTGATACCAACATTTGTCGGCGCTTTAAAACAATACTTATGCAATCCACAGGCTTTGTCCCTTCCTTGCAAGCAATATACTCTATAACTGATTTTCCACTTTCTGGTGTTTTCCCACAGCTTTTCGCCAATTTTAGGCCATCTAAACCTTGACAATGGACATTCAAACGCTCACAATTTCCTCCAGACTTATTCCGCAAAAAGGAAGGCAGATTTGGAATCAGCGTTCGAAGGCGCGTCTATTGATGATTTCATCTTTAGTCGCCCACTAATATTGGTATCCTTCCCTTGTGAGAACATGCTCATGGGAAGATACTTTAATCTTTACTATTTTTTGTCATTAAGCAAATGGCCCTCCATCTATAAGGGAAGGAAGGTTGGTCGAAGTGGTCTTTTGAGATGAAATATACACTGTCTTGTAGAACGGGGAAAGCTGATTCCATATCTACCTTTACTATCTGCTGTGGGCTTTTGAGCAATAAGTTGAAAAGGTTTTTGTGGGTAAAAAGCTAAACGTAAGATTAGGTAAAATCAGTCGTAACCTTTTCCTAACGTTTGAATGAGGCAGCAGCGATGAGTATATTTAAATCAAGAACATTTATTGCACCTAATGACTCGACTATCAACTGAGCTTTAGAGAAAATGTTATGTCTGATTTTACACTAATCTTGCATTCAACTATTTCTCACAAACATAATTCTTCGCGCAGAAACCGCAGCAGGTAGCGAAGAAAGATGAATCAGGTTCCAAGCTCTACAAGATAGTGTACATCTCATTTCAGGGCGCCACTTCGACCAACCTTCCTTCCCTTGTTAGGTCAAGCCATGTTTTTTAATCAAAGAGGTGGGAGTAAAGCCAACTTCTACTCAAAGGTGAATTCTGTCTGCAAGCACAGCCATAATGATGAGCAAAGCAAGAGAAAAAAGAATTAGCCAGTGGCGGTCCCAGCATTTCCGCTTGGGGGGGGGGGGAGGGGGAAGAGAACGACAGAGGCCCGTAGTAAAGCTCGATCAGTTGAGGTGAACTCAACTTATCCCATCAGTTCACCTTAGGTGAGGTGAACTGATCACCGTCCACGTTCCCATGCTATATGATGGTCAAGTCAACTGATAGTTAACCATCTGTCCACCTGCCGCAGTCAACTCTTTCACATCAATTCACGTTCAAGTCACCTCAACGTGAACGGATGTTAGAGTGATCCAAATAGTGTGTAGAAGAGGAGACGCAGACAAGAGGTGACTGCATCTAACATAAGTTGCTCCTGAGTAACTTACGATACACACAACTTTGCCAAAAAATGCAGAAAAAATCGGCGCAAAACTGCACAGTACCGGCGCCCGAAAAGGGAAGGATCGATGAACAGCTGATTTTGGCGACAAAAGCAAGGATAAAAGTTTTCTTCTTTTTTTTGCAGAGCAAAAATAGTTTTTTGTAAAAACTACTTTAGAAGAGAATCTACTTATTTATTACGTTTTATTTATGTTCCAAAAATTTCAGTTTTTCATGAATTCTTCGTCAAAATATGTCAGTTTTGTTTTATCTGTCCACTTGCTAAGTGATATCCTTGTTAGCGGTCATCATCGATTTTTTTCGACAGTGGCCGCTATCAAAGATTGTCCGGCGATGCAGCAAAAGTTGTGGCGCTAGCCGGTGTCGAACCACGACCGCGCGCGCGTGATTCCAATCGCTTATCCGTTTGACCAGACCAACTCAAGTGGTTTGTTTTTTGAGAACATATGTGGTTATCATGTCTAGGAAGCGATCCACATCCAAATCAATAGCTCACTGGATGCTGGACTGAAGCGCGATGACCTCAACTCCGGTCCGCGTCGAGAGAGATGCCCGGATGGGGGGTTTACTACGGGCCAGAATTTTTTTTTGAATAAAAGTGCGTGGCTTCAGCCACACATTCCAAGGCTTTTTTGATAAGCTTCTCAAAGTTTTTTGGGGCCCACAATAAAATTTTGAGTCACTTGCACATTTTTATGAACCCATACGTGATTTTCAAACTCGGCAAGGGCCCCCTCCCCGACCTCCTTCCCTATTCGCCCGCACTGGAATTAGCCTAAAGCACGCAGTGGTAGCGAAAATGAAAATAATTGATTTATTATCCATTAACAGTATTTTCAACCGCTATACACCTGTGTTGGGTGGGACAACGGCTCTAGACATGTGGTTATAAGTGAGTTGCTTGCAGATTAATGCCACACTCAGACATACGGTAAGCGCAAGCTGGCTGATCTTTTCAGGGTGAGTGTGCGCTGTGTATGATGAAGAAGTTCTTTGTTAGCCACAATGAACAGCAATATCAGCAGCCCAAGTGTGACTATAGCATTGCAGCAAAACATTACTAACACCACCATTTTTTACTTGATAGGACGAGGCTTGTGCTTTTATTCTACCAAATCGTGACTCCTGCAAGGCAGCAAACCAGCTATGAAAACATTTTTGGAACTGCTCTTTTAAGTAGTCAATTCGCTCGCTGTTAGCCGCTATCACTACACTAGAGATCTTCCCATCTGCACTCCAGTTAGGACACCATTTGATCTTGCCTTCTGGCATGACTTACGGCACTTTATCAACGTGACGGACTAAAGTCAGTCGAATATTTTGCTTACGGGTGTGAATAAAAGAATCTACACAAAACGTCTGGTCTCTTTCATCTAGAAAACGAGGTCATCCCTGATAAATTGTGAATCACTAACGTACCGGGGGGGGGGGACTACCCCCTAGAATGGGTTGCGAAATTTTTGAAAGTTACTTACGTGAGTTATATTAGGTCGTTTCATAAGTTCGTAGATTTTTTATTTTTGTCGCCGTTTTTCTTTGAAGCGGTTGGTTTACGGCAAACTATCTGCACCATTTGAAAGAGAAACCTTGCTCTACAAGAATTGTTGTTCGTTTTTGGAGCAAACCCAAATCCCCTTCCTTGACGACTTCTTAAAGCAAAATTTGAGAGGCAAAAACTGGCGATTTCGGCACCTGCAACTTTCGATCCATATACGGAGTCGCAAGTGGGACTTCTTCTCTGAAATTGTTATAAATGATGAAAAACGACTGTTTTTGGGACTACGGTGCATGTGGAAGTAGTCTCCTTATATAAAGAGACGCTATAAAGGAGGATTAAGCGCACATCTACTATGTGTGTAGATGTTTTGCATTTGGTGCAATTTAAAGAAGTCCCCACTCCAAAAAGTTTTTGAGGAAGCGTAAAATGTTTGCCAGAGCTTGTACTCATACATCTACATCACTCAGAAGAACCCATCCATTCCTCAAGTCCCGATACGCGCAAAACTCAAGCGGCAGCAGGCAATGACAACAACTATTGGGACCTTGTTCAGACGGTTTCAAGCATACTGGTATGCTGCAAATTTGTCAACATACCAGCCTTGGTTGCCACTATCCATTTCGCCTACATGTGACAAAGCATTTTGCAGGATACGGACCAAATGCGGAAGGTGCAGTTGCCAAAATCGCCAGTTTTGGCCTCTCAAAAAACTTTGCTTCGAGGGTATAAATCGAAGGGATTTAGATTGGCTCCAAAAACGAACAACGGTCTTGTAAAGCAAGATTGGCTCTTTCGAACGGTACAGGTACTTTGGGGTAAAACAACCGCTTCA